AAAATAGCCATACCAGTTGACCTCGGCTCACTAATGCCTAGTACATTGATCTTTATGTGATCCACTTAATTTTTGATGACTTTCATTGTTCCTAGATTCAGACTTTGACGTTGTAAGTCCTAATTGTTAGTAGATGTTTGCAGCCGCTGCTTCTGCTTTTGACTGTGTCCCGTCTGGTTTTAAGGTCCCACAGGCTTTCTCCCATCCACCTCATTAGGGCTGGCTTTCTCTTCAGAGGCAGCACTTCCTCGGTCAGGTTTTGAGTGTCTTAGGCCCACGTGGCTCATCTTTTGGCTCTGTGGTGGACACCGTTCTGCTGTTCCTCCTGAGAATTACACATCTCACACTGTTCTGTGGCTATCCATAAGGTTTTCAGGGGCTGATTCCTCAGAAGTGGACAGGCTATTCCTTTTTTAATATTCTGTTCTTGTCTGGAAGCTCTACTGGACACTGTTCACCTTGGGTGACCCTGCTACGATTTGAAAAAATAATGACATAGCCACTAGCATCAGAACAGCACCCAAACCCTCACAGTCAGACAAAGGGACAGATCAGTGGTGGAGATATGCGGTCCTGGTGCCTTTGGTGGGTCAGCAACTCAAGCGCACTAGTGGGCCTGAGGGTGGAAGATAAGGCTTTCCTGAGCCGTTAGAGCCTCAGAAATTCTACACAGGGCTACTATGAGATTAGACGCAAACCTTGGCAATGGGTTTGATTTACATATGTGAATATGTAGGAGCTTCAAAATAATTGTGGGAGAAATGATATTAAAAGATAATGGAACTTTCCCATAAACCTTTGGAAGCACCTTTATATAAAATTGTATGTTGTCTTATTGTTGAGAGTACACACAGCAGAGCACACCAGTTAGCCAGTAGTTTCTACACGTGGCACCTGGTGCCATGGATGCCACGGTTTCGGTGGCACAGCCAATCTCAGCCTCCTTTTCTAAGTTGCTGCTCTAAACATGGACTATTCCTGTTAGCATTAACCCAATGCCCCCTCGAGCTTTTATCTAAACGCTCATGTTTCTGCTGTTGATTTGATCCCATATAGACAGGTCTGAAAATAGTCTCATTTTCAAGGCATACATTTCTTACAAATTAAGGTAAACAGTTCTGGCTTTAGGGTATGTTTTGGGGTAAGATGTAAAGAGTATGTCTGACAGTACAGTCTTTCAGAATTTGAATTTCAGCTCTGCATCACCACCCACTCCCCTGCCCCTTCTGATCAGCATTCGTCTACAGCAGTGGTTCTCAACCTTCGTAAGGCAGCAAGCCTTTCATACAGTTCCTCATGTGTGGTGACCCTCCAACCATAAAATTGTTTTCGTTGCTACTTCATCACTGTAATTTTGTTACTGTTATGAATTGGGTGACCCCTGTGAAAGAGTCATTTTACCCCCAAAGGGGTCACAACCCACAGGTTGAGAACCGCTGGTCTATGGAATCTTTTATCAAAATATTCAGCAACAGTTGTCAGTCATCTCCTAGTTCTAGTCTTAGGACAAATGAGGCAGATTCAAGGAAATGATTAGCTGTGCATTATTTTCCATTTCTTCCTGACTTCTTAGAGAAATTTTAGTCTGGAACACACTTCTGTTTTGAATTAGTATTTTTTTAAATGAGTGTCATTAGTATTTTAAGTTTTCTTTTTTGCAACATTAAGTAATTCAAAGACAAAATTTATTTCCCTTATTCTTTTGGTGTTCCTCAGAGCATCTGGCAGCATGATGCACATGTAATAAGAAATCTAATTGTTTCTCAATGAATACAAGTACTTCTACTGAAATAAGGCTTTGTGCCAAAGATTTCAGCTCTCTATATTAAATATCCTTGTTCTATGTTCCTCCAGGGACTACGACTTATACAAGTGTAAGTAGATAAAGGGGTAATTGAAAAAAAAAGGGTGGGGGGGGGCTCTGGAGTCTAAATACCTAGGTTTAATCCTGTTATTTTGTGTAAGAAATTTAACCCCCCTGTAGGGACCATAGTAACTGCCTGAAATGTTTAGAATATTTCTGAAGATTAAATGAAAAAAAGTACAAGGGGACTTCAAAAAGTTCTTGGAAAAGTGGAATTATAATATAATAGAATGTTCCTACCACCTTTGTGGTACTCTCTTTATACATTAAAAGGGCCTGGGACAGTGCTTTGTCTATCATAAGTGCTGAATATGCTTTTCATATTAAATTGTGCCACTGATACTTTGCTTTTATTGTTTCCTTCTCATTATTTTTCCTTCTCACGCTCTCCCTCGGCAAGTTGATGGCAGCCACAAAGCACATTAATGCTGTTCAACTCACCCAATTTCTCTTGGTATTCACTGAATTGGCGCAGGCTAAGTGGATGTGTAATAGCGGTATAGTTTCTGATGCTTTAGTAATTCAAATAAAGAAAGCTTTTTTGAGGCAGTTGAGACCCTGGACCAATATTTATTATCACTTAGTCGTAATGGTTTGATTTTGTTGTTAGACACATCACCACCAGTGATGACCACGTGGCTCTTCAGGAGCATGGGTCACCTCTCACGGTTTCAGTCATGTTTTATGAAAAGCCTAAATATGAAAAAGGTATTTGGCGATTTAGCATTTGGTGTTCTAGGATTTTAAATATACACAAAGTATTTAAATGTTTCAAAAGTGTTGCTCAATTCTTTGGCTATGGCTGTTAAATACTTATAATTGATACTTCCCGTTTGACTTATAGTGACACTGACACTATAGAACAGAGTTGAATTGTCCTTTGGGGTTTCTGAGACATTTCCATTCATCACAGAAGCAGACAGCAGCCTTACCCTTCTCCTGAGAAGCAGCTGGTGGATTTAAACCGCTGACCTGGTAGTGAGTAGTAACTCAATGTGTATGTAGTCCACTCTGCCTGCCTCCAGAGGTCCTCAAGTGAGTAACTACTTGGGGTAAAGAATACATCTAGGTAAATAATCAAGGATTTCCCATCTTCTCTTTTTTCGACTCTAGTCTTCCAGGGCTCACAATAGACCTCAGGAATGTCTCTATCCTTCTTCAGCAACTGTTAGGAAATGAAGGACCTAGTTGTCGAATTAGATTTTCTAGAACAAGACAACGAACACCTGGGGAGTAAGAAATCTAAGGAATAGTAAGGGACCTCACCTGTCCCCACCCCCCCAACCCCAGTTGGCCAGTTGCTTCCATTTACATATAATTAGAAGAATGACTCTGTCTATGTTTTCCTGCTACAAAGTTTCCAGCAGAAAAATTAGTCATTTCTACTCTTCCACAATGAATATTTTTTCAATTTTCTTTCTCTTTCCTTTCCATTTCCCTGACTTCCTCTCTCTGTGCATGTGGGAAAGAGGACCATGAATTGCCATTGCTTTCTTGAAGACAGTGAAGAGACCCAGATTGGAACAGAGTGGGCAGGAAAAAAATGGTTTCCAGATTCAGGGCATTAAATAAGGAATCTGATATCAAGGTTTTAAGACTCAATTTGGCAATTTTCTCCCTTAGTCTTGGGTCTCTCTGAGTCTAAATTTTCACCAAGATGAAATGTACAATAATAAAATAAAATGAAAAATAACCCCTTTCCTATTTCCTTTGCAAATGGGCTGGTGCAAGTGAATGTGCTTTAACATTTCATGTGATCTTGTGAATTCTAGTGCTTCCACTATTACAATTTGTTTTGTTGATAATTTCTCTGGTTTCAGATAAGGAATATGAATGAAAAATGATACTTCATTGTGTTTTGACTGTTTGCCAGGTTCTGTCATTGTAGGATAAGCCGAAGCAGAGAAGCTGCTACAACTTGGCTCCTTGATTTCCCCTCTGGTTTTCCTCTTTCACTCTGTGCCAGAGCAAGCAGCTCTCTCATAAACCCTTGATAACAAACTGGAACAGATTCAGAAAAGATAGCTTTTTATTTATATTTACCTTTGGGTTAAAATCTTTTGACTAGAGAAAATAAGAAGTCGATCATTACAGAAGGAAGAGGTCTGAGGTTTCTTCATGAGAAATAAAATGAGATCTTGTGTAATTATTTCCTCCAAATAGTGGCTTTTGTAATGATTTAGGAGTTGGTATGCAACATGCTATTGTCAGACTTAGGAGATATGTGCAAAATATATCCTATCATGCAGGACTATGAAGACATAGATTACTCGAATGTGTATTTTTTTTAAAAGGCAAGAATTTAAAGGGATGTGTACATTTGTGTGCCTGTGCCTGTGTCTGTGTTGTGTCTGTGTACTTGACTACTTAGACCTGGAGTCAGAACCTGGGGTTCTTTCTTCTTATTCTAGTAAAGGTTTATGCCCCCTTGAAAGCGATACTGTTTATTTTCTTACCATACCTTTTGTGAAGTATTGAGACTCTTGCATGGTGCCCTGTCACTCACTGGGCTGAAGTACAAATGCTAATTTATCACCAGGCTGCTGCCTTGTGATTTGCATTCCAAATCAGACTGCTGATTCCTATTATAAATTGCTTATCCTGTAGTTCCTTATCTTGAATTTGTTCCTTCCTTTTACAACCCTATTCATTCCTCAGAAGTGACCCTTGGGGGGAAATGCTCTTTCAAGAGATTCTCATTTAAAAGCAGCAGTTCCAGTAGGCTAAAATCATAGCCATAAATTACAAAGACATCAATAGATTTGTTCCCTGTGCTTCTCCCCCTTTCATGCAAGAGTCCGCTGGCCCCAGAGCAACACAATGACTTAAAGCACACATCTTCGAGGCTTACAGGTTTATACACATGCCTGTGAAAATCGTACTTCCATTGCGTCCTAAAACCTGAAAGGTGTGAGCAGCCAAGCCCTCTGCAAATAATAACATTTTACAGATAAATCCCAAGATGGTATAATGGCATCCTTTTGTGACACTTTTAAAGAAAATTAACGAGATACTTCACGAAGAGAGAAAAGGGGCGGGGGGAGCATTTTTGCAACGTATCTGACTGGGTAAGAAGCAATTGCTGCAGCAGAAAGGACCGATGGGAATCTGGGCTTTCCGACTCTGGTAGCAAAGAGGGGGAATCATGGGTTGGTGGTGGGCTTCATGTTAGGAGGACACCCCTCCATCTGTTCACAGTGTAACCTGCTTCCAATTTAAAGCCCAGATTTCAATGCAAACCTCAATTCCTATTCCCCATTTTAAATGCAAAGCAAGGCTCCTGAATCACAGTGTCTCTGCCACTGGGATTCAGCCCAAATTTCCCCCCAAATTCTCAGGCCATTTGTTTGAATACCTGCTTACAGTGGTGCACAATGGGCAGCTTTGAGAAGAAAAATTGATAATCTTCACGGAAGAGTAATTTGAATGAAATTACACTTGACAGGCTGTCTCTAAGCAAACAAGAGAAGCAGGGAGCCTCAGCTAAGCTCTGAGGACTTGCCTGAGCCACTGCTGTGGGAGCTTCCCAGGGGGAAAAAAAAGACCAGTTTTTCCAACGTCTAATTGAGGCTTTTGATTAATTCCGTGTACCAGATTCTACTGAAGGAAGGTAGCCATGGAAGAGAATATGGAAGAGGGACAAACACAAAAAGGTACTGTGCTGAAAAGGGTTTATTTGTAACTGAGTCATTATTTTGCAGTTTCCTTGTTTGCTTTAGAGTCTAACCCTTGCCAGTAGGCTAATGAACGTTTCTCTCTTGGAAGGCATTTATTTATTTTCTTCCCCTCTTTCTTAGGCTTTTCCCTCACTTGTGGTAATGTCTTGCATGAATGTTGGTATTATGTGCAAATCTTTCAGATCTACGTGTCCAAATGGTAAAATCGAGTATTAGTGATTAGGGCATTGCGGTATTATATGCTGAGCCGTGTCTTTGTTAGCCTTCATTTATTTCATGTTTTCACGCTTGTCGACCTGGGTCAAGGGTTTCGTGGTGTTAAGAGAACACCACTAGCACACTATTTGGAGCTAGTTGTAGTGAAAATAGCTGATGATGTAACCATTATACCTTTGAATGGGCATCTGGTAGAACAAAGACCAAAAATATGTTTATTGTGTTTGGGTGGGTGAACCTTTAAAAGAGTCGTTCTTTGGGTAGCTACAAAGGTCTACATGTTGTCGGGGGCAGAGGAAAACACTGAGAGTTTTCTTTGTAGGTTTTTCATCATGTCAACCTCTGAATAATAAACGTCGAGGAAATTTTCTGATACGTTGTTACTTGATTTGCTTTTTACGTCTGTGCAGGTATAGTACGTATAGAAATGGCCACTTGTATTGCTCAGAAATGGGCAGATTTTGGTCATTTCGAGTGCTTCAGACAAGCATCTCTAGGATTTTCTATGTGTCGAGTGGAGATGTGGAAGGAACTGTGGCTTTCACCCTGATGTTGGCAGCGTTTTCTCTCCTGCCTGAGCTCAGGGTTATGTAATACTTTGGAAAAGACTCCTGTTTTCTTTGGCATGAAACAGTAATACAGGTAATATGACATACAGGTGGTGCTTTCAGACTAGTATTGAAAAAGATCAGCTCTTAAAGATGATTTAGGATGTATATAAATTAATTTTATACTCTGTGATAAAATAGGTAATTTGGAAAATTGCATTAATTTTTATTATTTTGATTCATTCAGCTTTCCGCATACTTTGAGATACATCAGATAGATGACAAATATTTTATAACCAATACAAAATACGATAAAGATAAGCCCCATGCAAATCTTAGTCATGTTTGCTGCTGAGTAGAGACATGATAAACTACAGATATACTACATTATATATTTGAATTCTTTAAAAAAGAAACAAACAAACCCTTATCACTTCCCTTATTATATGAACAATGAATCATGAATGTTACCAATGATTTAAGAGAGGAAAATTAAATGGTATTTTCCAACCTTATCAAGTAATTCAATGGGTTATTTTACTTTAGGCATGAACTATCTTATTTTAATGTCGTTCATAGCACATCTGAGCCTGGCTCTTGACCAGTCAACTTGCTTAGAGAAAGATAAACCAATCACTTTCAATACAATAGTGAAATGACACCATGGCACTACAAGTATTAAATCGTGGATTATGGTAACAGGCTGAGCCTGCACAAGCCTCGGTAGACAGCAAACCCCAAAATGCTGCGGTGGTTGTCGTGTGTTGTTTTTCCCCTCAGATAACATGGAAAAGCTTTCTTTCGTCCAGTCTGGCAGGTGGGAGGGTGGGGGAAGCCTGTGATAAGGAACATCTGCCACAGTGGGTTCTCTTTACCATTAAGATGTGCTGAGCTTAATCCAAAACAGTGTTGAAAATGATTCTAAATCAGAAAACTCATATAGTGCTCTGCAAATAAAAGCAGATCTATACATAAAACATCTAGTATGGAACGTTTAGAAATATCTTGAGAAAGACAGTATTTCATTTCCTTCACTTCTCATGTTCAGTTCTTCCCAATTCTGTGTACGTCATCTGTTCTATATGTTTATTGTTTGAAAGTTAGATTTGAATGTAAATGTTAAACAGTGGGAAATCTAATGAGATCTAAATTGCAGAAGGACCCTAGGCAGTACTTTGCATTATTTCATACCTTGTTTTTAAACTGTTGTTGCTCTGCTTTTGTTTATGTATTTATTATTTGGTTTCATAGAATTTTTCTTAAATGTTGTCTAGGTATCACAGGGTTAGCTTTCATATCAAAGGGTTATGCTAAAATATCCTGTAGGTTTGTGACTTTCTGTATTACAAATCAGAAGGATTAAAATGTGTGTCATGGTTCACCAACATTACATATTCAAATATAGAATTAAAGGTGGAAGTGTATGGCTTAATGAAAGATATTTGGTAGATACATATGCTTCATATAGGTATATAATATATACCTATATAAAGATATAGACACCTATAAATACAAATACATATTTGATCTGTATATGCGTCGTATATGTAAACATGTATGTGTATATATGTAAACACATACATGTAAACGTGATGTGCATACATACGTATACATACATGCATACACACACACATATATATGATGTTTGAGGACTTAAAAACTGATCTACTACAAGAAACATATTTTGCTACATAGTGAAATTCTCTGCTACTCTGTAAAAGACAACTGAGAACAGGTAAAACAGAACTACATTTAGCTTATCATAAAAAGTTAACTCTAAGTGCTCTGCCATCAGGAGATGATAATTGAAGAGTGTGGTTCACTTTGTAAGCCATTTCATTCCAAGTGGCTGTGCCTTGTCCATTCCAAATAGGAATGTGAGTCATTAACCTGTTGCTTCTTCTATCTCGACACCTACCCTACCTCCAAAGGTGAGTATCTCTTTGCATTGTGTGGAAACTCTGTTTTAAGAAATATGCATTTTCTGTAAAATATTTGAGTTTAAGATAACTATTTTACTCTTTCTTGTGTTACACCAAAACAACAATGCTCTTGTTACTGGAGTAACAGCAAACTTCTCAGCTTGACCTTGAAGTATGGCTATAACAAGTCCATAGTTAGCGTCATCAAAACTCAAGATAAAGGAATGCCAAACCAGGATGGTAATTTTCTCTACTAAAGCAGAATTATTAAAATGATTTTTATAATTTTTGATTTATAGACATGTAACTAACTCTGTGTGGAACCTGTAATCAACTTCCACTTCCACATTTTAGCCAGTGGAAACTTTATTGATATATTGTCCAATATAATGCTGGAAGACGAGGTTCCCAGGTTTCGGGGTACTGCACAACAGCTTCCACAATGCGTGCAAATGCATCAGTGATCATGAAGATGGTGCAAGGTTTGAAATGAACTCTATGGTAACTGCCAACAGTCATAAATGAATTCATAAATGCATGCCCAAAGGGGGCCAAAGAAGTGCACAGCCATTGCTTTCTAGGTAATCTCAATGGAAGGATTACTAAATTTAAAGTGGCACAGAGGAAGACTGATGAACTAATGATTAGAATAAGTGATAAAATGGCTTTCTGATGAAACAAAAACATTGCTCTCCACAAAAGGACAGCAATAAACCCGAAAAGCCATCCGCTTGGAATCGTCTTTAATTGGCTAACGTGTTTTAAACCACCAAGTACCTGATTTAATGCCTGAAAATGAACATATTAGGAAAAAAGTCATCTAAAAATTAAATTAAATTAAAAAGAGAAAATTTTTATCAGCTTGAAAGATAAAACTACAGTGTAACTCACCGTATTTTTCTAGTAAAATGGTCTATGCCATCATCTTCTCCACGGAACCAAAACCAGCTACAGATTTGTTCTCCATCACTGGAAGCTGGCCTGCCATCTCTTGAATGGGATCAGGACCCTGGCTGAGCCTCGTCGCTCACTACAAGTAGAAAATTAAAGTTGTTGTGAACACGGTCGGTCAAGTTTCATGATCTTAACACACTTACTATGAACACTTTATTTAATGGTCATCATTCTTTTTTTAAACATCACCATTAGTGAAACTACATCATATAGGGTAGCTATATGTTGAAATTGACTAGATGAGAGCGTGGCTGGCTTTGATTTGGGTTCTTATCATATTAAGACCAGCAAACCTATTTAGATGAAAGAACAGACTTACTATTTTCTCTCTTCCTCTGTCAATTATGTCTGTTTACCTGAGAAGTAACTACATTGTAAAATTATATTTGACATTTGTGCACCCAGTCATATACTTTACATTATGCATTAACATCTATATACACATATTACTATAAATGCATATTGTTGTTAGGGCCATCGAATTGTCACCAACTCATAGCAAACCCTATGTACTATGAAGGCATATATTCTCTTATTTACTGATTGACTACAAATCTTTTTTGTTTTTGGCTTTGGATTGTATTTGCTTTGAAAGATGACTTTAGCCCCTGATCTTCTACAGCAGCCACCATTCCTTAAGAAAAGATAACACTGTCATAAAGGAAAATAGAGACATCATTGACCTTATGATGTTAGATGGTAGTGTTGACCCTACATTGATCAATCATTTCATTACCACATGTTTTAAATATTTTACATACATTAACTTCATGAAAAACCTTTTTGTTGCTACATTCTAGTCAAGAAATATTCTATAGCGTTCTTCAAGGCTGAGACTTTTCTGATGCGATTGGCAGTTCTGAGGCAGCTCCGGGAGGCTGGCTTGAAGCACACAACTCTCAGTCGGTAGTCCAGTGCTTAACTATCCTTGCCACCAGGGACTTCTCCTATAACCTTTGTTGTTGACAGGTGATCTAGAGTAAATTTCCACTCATGGCTACCATAAGACATAGAATGTATCCCATAGGATTCACTAGATTGTAGTCTTTATGGAAGATGTTGACCAGTTATTGTTCCATGGAGCCATGGGTAAGCTAGCAATCAAGTGCTTATTGCCTGTACGACAAGGGCATAACCTCATTGATGTTAGGTGCCATTGAACTGGTTCAGATTCATAGGGACCCTGTGTACAACAAAAGAAAACAAGGACCAATCCTGCACCATTCTCACAACTGTTCTTGTTTTTTTGAACTCCTGTTGGCTCCACTGTGTCAATACACGAAGTGTTTTCCTTTTTTTTTGCTGACTCTTTAGAAAGTCAGATGCCCTTCTCCAG